AAAAAAAAAAAAAAAAAAAAAAAAAAAAAAAAAAAAAAAAAAAAAACCAATATTCGATTCACAATAACAATTAAACAAAAATTTATGGGAAAATAATTGTGAGTAATCTGGACTATACGTGATTTTGAGATTTACAACCTAAAGTATTTTTTTTTTGGTAAAATGCAACCTGCATTACATGCACAATCACTATTTGCACCCTCGACCACATTTTGACTGTCCGCTCAATAGAAAAAAAAGGGCACGTGTATGGTCAAGATGTGGTCGAGGGTGCAAATAGTGATTGTGTATGTAGTTCAGGTTGTATTTTACCAAAAAACATACTTTAGATTGTAAATCCCAAAATCACGTATAGTTCAAGTTGTTCACTATTATTTTCCCAAAACTTATAAATTCGGTATCGGGTGTATCAACATTTTAAAATTTTTACTGAACAATATAAACATATATTATACAATTTACATATGATTTGTTATATTAAATTAATGACATAAAATATAACGAATAATGTAATTTTTATAATTAAAAGGGACCACAATCAATTAACAAAATTTAACAATTTTTTTTATTATTGTTATAAAAACTTTTTATGTGATTTTAAAGAGCTTTATTATGCTATTAAGACCAACTAACTAATATTAAAAAATTGCAATATGATTTTTTATATGTGTATAACATTAACATATGATTTTAATTATTTATAATTAGTTAGTATTAGTAGTAACTATTAAATAATAAATTATTTTAAAAATGTTATTATACTTAATGTAAAATGTAATATACCTATTCTACTTTAACTAAAAAACTAGTTCATTATAAATATCTTTATGTTCTTTTGCATAGGGATTGAGAATTTTTTTTTCAATAATACCCTTATTAAATGAAAATTAATATTAGTTAATAATTTTAATTTTAGCTTTATTATTTTTTTAAGAAAGAAAAACTTTTCATCTTCCTCATCATTCCTTCACAATATACACAACTTCACAAAATACACAGCCTCAAC